GTCAATGTGTTGCGATCAAAAAGTCAACGTACGACGTCCCAAACCCTAGGTTAACGCCAGTCAACGTATTGCGATCAAAAAGTCAACGTACGGCGTCCCAAACCCTAGGGTCAACGCCGGTCGACGCCTAACCCTAGGTCAACGCTAGTCAACGCGTTGCGATCAAAGAGTCGATGCGACGGAGATAGTCAGTTCAAAGTCAACTCTATGACACGAGCCAAACTCAACTCATCAGTTTTAGATTTGAGACTTCAACGACGGCCAAACGATAAACGCGGCACCGGAAGGATTTCAGCTATTCGTCAAAGCATCGAATAGACTGAAAATCAAAGGAGTCAAGAATTGAAGCTAACTGTAGGTCCTTTACACTGACCGAAGGCTGGACCAATCATATCCAAAGTATTCCAGCCTCTTCTATAAAAGAAACGAGTCTGGAACGCTTTGGAGGGGGTATCTGTAGGCATCGAAATTTGCCTATAGGTCTCCACGAACAGCTCGGTGTTAAGGAACGACGATGAACGTCACTATCCGGTTCACAGGAGTTCGATTGATGTCGATGAACGATTGAAGTGAATCGACGAACTACGTGAACTAACGAAGGTACGGGTTAATCAGGACCCCGCGATGTTTACAAAAAGAACAATACCCTTCATGTCTCATTGATTCAACAGATGATATAACCATCGGAGCTCGATTTTGAGAGAATACAAGTCAAATTTTCTTTCTTTGTCTTTTTACATCAAATTTCCTACCAACAAGCGTTAGTACCAACATTGCAAAATTAGTATAAACAACGTCACATAAATGAAATTAGTTTGTCTATTGTTAGATATCATCTTCTATTTACCATCGTAATTGATCGTTGGACTCATGGGCATCACTATATAATTTCTCTTGTGCTCGTTCTTTACCCCACCAAATCTTACTATAATCGACCCTAATCTCATACGAGCTTAGAAACTCCTTTTGAACGAGACACCCTAGGGTGTCTCGGCCAAGGCCGAGACACCATAGGGTGTCTCGGCCCAAATCGAGACTGTTCGCAGTGAAAATCGTCTTCATCGAATTCATTGTCATCTTGAATAACTATATTTTTTTTGTTACAAAAGATCCGGTCTTTTTTAGATCCGATTACAACGAAATCAAAGAAAAAAGAAAAAATTACAACTTTCCTTTTAGAACTTTCCCTTTGAACAAATCGCAAGATCCTGTTTTGCGGTCTCTTGCTTGTGTGGGTTCTTTGCCAACGCCGGGGTTAATCCCACCAAATCTTACTATAATCGACCCTAATCTCATACGAGCTTAGAAACTCCTTTTGAACGTCAATAGGTCGTATATCCGGTCGTACCTTTAACGTGGGTTGTAATTGGGTAGCAATGAATTGCCTAGAGGCTCTAGATTGACCTGTATTATTGCCATGCTGTCCACAACTGTGATTGTCCACGAACCTTTTGATTTCAAGTCTATTATCATTTTTCGGTGGAGAGGCAAATAACATCCATGGGCAATTTTTGGCTTCCTTAAACCGACAAAACACTCGAATACGCTTCGGTTCATTCTTCCCAAACTCGTATTCGATTTTTTTTTGCCATGGAGTAGTATAGCAAGGCTAATCTTAACTCCTTCGCACTTTCAAATCGTTGTCCCTCACCGGTTATCTTTACCTCTCTCGAAATCCTGCCTTTTGTGACGTGGACGTTCGCCGAGAACCAGATCTGAATCTTCAAATCCTCAAGTCTTCAAAACTCTGAGCTCAATCTTTAATTCGGCAGAGTTTTGTCTCTAAAAGTTCCAACCTTTTGAAATAAAACAAGGGGGGCCTATTTATAGGCTCCCTTTACTGTGCCCGGGCACAGATCTGGCCGGCCACCTCAGGGTGGCTCGGCTTTGGCCGAGCCACCCTGAGGTGGCTCGGATCTGCTAATCATGTCATCAATCGTCATGACATCATCTCCGGAAGGATTGTCATTGGGATTCTTATCTGGAACACTTGTGGTCCACAACGCCGACGGGCCACAGTCTATACTTTTTGATTTAAAACTACTAGAAGCGCTACAAATATTAAGAACATAATTTATCATAAACTACACAAATAGTAGAAGTATCAACAGATAATACCAAAAGCTAAAAAGCAAAAACGACATCTGCTTGCAGTTAGAATCAATTAGAACCAGCAAGAACTAATAAGAAAACCATTAGAGCTAACAGTGCATAATTAGAACTGACATAATAGCTATTAGAACTAACAATATAACCATTAGGACTAACAAGACATAGACTAGAACGTTGCTCGCGTGCGATTCGTTGACCTCGTCGGCTCGTCACTCGATGGTTTGTCGAATCATCGTGCCGAGCTATGCTAAGGGACTTATAAGCAATTTTACATGCCTACAGATACCCCCTCCAAAGTATTTTAGCCTCGTTCTTTTATAAAAGAGTCTGGAATACTTTGGATATGATTGTCCCAACCTTCAGTCGGTGTAACATAGCTATTAGAACTAACAATATAACCATTAGGACTAACAAGACATAGACTAGAACTAACAATATAACAATTAGGACTAACAATATAACAATTACGACTAACAATATAACTATTTTAGGACTAACAAGACATAGATCAGAACTAACAACCTTTGCAGCGTTTGCAGCGTATGGAACTAGAGTAGAACTAGCAATAAATCTAGTAGAAGTAACAAAATAGGGATTAGAACTGACAAAGAAACCATTAGAACTAACGTATGGAGCATAATAAAGAACTGCAGCCTCGTTCTTTTATAAAAGAGTCTGGAATACTTTGGATATGATTGTCCCAACCTTCAGTCGGTGTAATGAGACCTTGGAATGGCTTCTGTTCTTGATTCCTTCAATCTTCCAGGCTATTCGGTGCTTTGTCGAATGTCTCTGACAAAGAAACCATTAGAACTAACGTATGGAGCATAATAAAGAACTGCTTAACGATAAGATACGATCAAATTAGAACTGTTGTTCGGGACTAGGCAGATTACAACTAACAGAACTAACAGAAGACGAGATTACAACTAACATAAGATACGATCGAATTAGAACTAACAGAATCAATATTACAACTAACATACGATCGAATTAGAACTGAAGTGCAGTTAAACCTAGCATAGATCTAACAAGAAGACGATTAGAACTAAAGTTAATTGATTTTACAGTTAACCTACATGTCTTGTCGGACTTGCTCGTTTTTTTGTTTATTCGAAGAATCATCTCCTTTAAAAGCTTGCATGTGAACCTCTTTCAGTCCAAGATTTTGGCAATGCTCCACCATAGATGTCAGATCCCCATCGTTCTCAATGGGAAATTTTAAGCTTCCAACTGTTTCATCTTTGTATGCCAAAATTAATGACTCATATGGAAGATCTAACCTCTCTGCCACATCAAACTTGAGATCCAAGATGGTGGTTGAAGAATTAATATTTAAGAATACCGCTTTATACCGCTAAGAGACAATGCAGATGATGTCCTTTTCAGCCATTTTGAAGGGATGGTAAGAGTAATGGAGAGAGTAATGGAGAGAATTTTGGTCTGAGGAGGAGTAAGGAAGAACTAAATAGTTATTGCTCATGATGGAGTAAAAAAGGGGGAAATTTTCCTCCATTTTTTCCATCATATCGCATTAATGAGAAGTGACTTCTGTTGTTCGGAACTAGGCCTCGTCTGGAGAAGAAAGAGAAGGGCAATTTCGACTTTTTTCCAAAATACATTCTGCTTTTAGCATAATGCTGACGTGGAGGGGGTTTAAAACATTAAAGCTCACTTTTTGGGGCTATTCCACATGGAGCAAAGTACAAGGGGGGCTAGTCACACGTAGTTCCCACTTTTGACGCTTGGACACATTTTTCTCTTTTATCTTTTGTGTGTTAGATAATAGAACATCTAGTTTCTATCTACTATATGTATAGCTGGCTTTTGTTCTTCCTTATATCTACGCTTACGATAAATGACAGCAAGATCCACTCTTCATTTTTATGGATCTCTAGAAGAAGAATGTTATACATACCTAGTATTAGAAACTTTATTTTCTATCTTCTAACAATCGGATATAGTTTGTATCCTAACTTTTTTAATTACATATATGTAGTTCTTTTGGTTTTTTAATGAACATGGTATATCCCTTGTTTTTCGCTCTCAAAAATAAAAAGTTGCTCTTTTCCCCAAAAAGAGTGCTCCCTAAAAATGTAGGGTTTTGCCAACCATTGGCCTACTCAATCGCCATGAATCAACGAATTATTAAGCGCATTATTCTACAATCTCTTTACTTTATTAATGCTTTTATTAATGCTCCTCGATATGAGGACTAATTATTTTTTCCGCTCTGTGATTATTACCAGAACATTAACTAAATTTTTTTTCTTCTAACGTGATGCAACTCGTGACTTTGTTTAAAGATTTTGTGAACGTGTGAGTGCTACCGTTCACGCGTGCAAACATATCATATAGTTAAATTAGAGCCGAAGATGGACTGTTGAGAAAAGAAATCATATGTAGAGGACTCTTTATATGGGAAATCATATAAGGAGCAACAAAGAACGCGATAACATCTTAATATGGATTTTTAATGGTGATTTCACTAATACAATAATTTGCTTGTACTAATATAATATTTATGATTACATAGATTGTACTTACTTAAAATTGATAGCGACATAGTATCATGTTCTCTTTCACTCGTTTATAGTTACTCTGTGATTTCATATACTCCCCCCCCCCCAGGCCCCCCCCCCCGCCTTGTCGGTTCAGCATTTGTAGGGCCCTTGCATAAGCGCTTTATTAATTGATTTGGTAGGAGTCACATTATCTCTTCAATTATATAGTTAACTATGTTTTAGACTTTTAGTGACTAAGTTCTCGGTCATTTCCCTCTTAATTCACAATTTCTCCTCATTCATTGGAGCCTCATGAATCATGCAATTTGTTTCCACGTTATATTCCAAAGCCTCCATTGTCAACATACTAAATTTAGTCCCATATGTTGTTCATAATTAAGCTACCAAACCTCAATCTACGTCTACTATATAGTCACATTACAGCAACCCCTCTTTAATGGGCCTAGGATATGGGCCAAACTTATCACCTTGCCAGCCTTGACGTCCAGGCCGAGGCTGTGTAAAGCCCGGTATTCTTCCAGCCCAACCGCAGTGTTCCGTCGCCCTGCAGGATCGTATAGCCCAGCGAGGGCGGGAACATGTTAAGGATCAGTTGGGCCTGGGCCATTGCGTTTGAGCTCATGGGCAGCTGAGCGAACGCGGGCCTTCGGCCCAATTCCATCCTCCAACTCGAGAATTTCTCCTGATGGCCAATATATTACCTATCTCCCTGGCCAAAAGCCCGTTCTCTACCCGGTAACGGGACGGGTTGTCTACGGGCAACGACGCGCCCAACGAATCGAACAGGGTCGAATAGTAGTGCAGTGACCCAACGAACCGGTCCAAGAACGAGCCCGTGCGGATCATCTCTTGTTCGACAAGCGTAATTGCATTGGGCCGAAGTGCTTCGATAAGTCTCATTGTGGCCCAATCTGGCCCATTTGCATCGTAGAGCGAGTGTTGTAGCCAATGCACGGCGAGGGCCTCACCTCTGCGGGCCTGGATCGTCGACGGGTCAATATCACCGAGCCTTTTCGCTATTGGACTGAATTCAAATGGCATACCGAGCCTCTTAGCGAAATTTGACAATTGCTTTCCCGTCTCTTGTAAGTCCTCCATCGAGTCCCCAAGGCCGGTCATTCGCACATGCGGAGGCCCATCAGGTCTTGTTGCAAGTATATGGAACAGTGCCGGCCATTGGAGGCCCTGCATGATGTCGAGGTCGATGATATGGACTCGATCGTGGCGATGAAACACCTCAAGGATCGCTTGGTTTGCCGTAAAATGGGAGAATTTGATGAAGGGTGAGATGTTGTTGAAAGCTTGGAACGAAGCCAATATCGACTTGTGGGGGACTAAAGGCGAACAAATTGAGAGCCTAGAGCTCATGACTCGACTCAACATTGCGTGGGTGAAGTAGGCGATGACCCGCTCTGCGCAGGACGGGGAATAAGGGGAGGCAAGCTGGGTGAGCTCAAGCAGCATTCGGTTTGCATCGGGCAAATTATCGATAGAGATGGCGACAGCGCATTCTAACAGTGTTGTAATCATGCTTAGAGCTTGCTCTTCATGCTCATTTGCGGGTTTTGTCGTTGCTACCTTAGCATGTTCGGGGACTAGCCTAGTTGATATATCGCTCATACGGTCCCTTCTCGGGGCCTTGTGAGGGCGATAATATTCGGTCTGTGCAAATGGTGGTGGAAAAGTTTTATCGGTCGATATGGTGCTGTTATCGACAGAGAATTCGTCGATGGTGGAATCGGGTGACATGTTGGATATGTGTTGGGCGACAAGGTCCATGAACTCCGAGAAGTCCGAACCCGTGCAATTACCGCCGAGGACTACCGGCCCTACGGCCCGGGCCAGCGAATCTTGGGGGATTTGCAAGCCCATTGGGCCACAATCCCATGGGATATCATTGGGCTGGATTAGGCCTAGTGCGCCATTGCGCACTTCATAATCACTCTTCATCATGTTGTTTTCAGAATTTTGGAGGAAGAAAGAGGGGAAAGGGGGGAAACAAGGCAGCTAAGTGGTTGGTATTTAAAGACTTCTTGCGTGCGTGTGTGTGCGTTGCAATTTGCGGGCCATCATTCTTTAGCCTCTTGGGTTTGCGTCCAAATTCTAACAAATGTAAAATATGGGGTTTGGCCGGCAAAGAAAGACACAGAAATGAAGTTATATTGGACTAGGACAAGCCCACATGTCACATTGCTAGTGATATTATTCAATTTTTAAGCCTTTATACCAAAATTAACCAATGCATTTACTTCTTTAACTATGTATACTTACTATACGATGGGGCCCATGTTTTGGTGAAATGTTGTTGATGTTCTCTAGGTGAACTTAAAGGTAGAAGAAAAAAAAAAGTATTTTTAGTGTTTTTAGGTTTAGTAAAATAGTACCACCTTGTTGTTGTATTGTAAGGGAGCAAAGTTTTGCTACTGGAAGTTGGTTTTAAAAAAAAAAATCTTAGCAGTAAATGCATACGTCATGATGAGATAGGAGGGCTTTACAAAGGACAATTACACAACAAATAAAGCAATAGACAAAATAGTTTAAGCAACTCTAATGGTGATTTGTGTCGCTTTCTAATTGTGGTATAATAATGTGGAAGAGTTTGGATGGGCTAGGGATCTCAGAACGAGTTTCTAAAATTATTTTTTTACAACTAAGATTTTTATCTCACCTTTAGGATGAAATGCATGCTATTCTTTGTTCATTTATTTTTTATGAGTATTCCATGAACGTAATTTGGAAAATCATTCATACAGTAGTGCCAATAATTATGCGGCTTATTAATATTCATCCAAAAATACTGAAAACTATTTGATTGTCATTTGAGAATATACTTCTACTGAAAACTATTTGATTTTCATTTGAGAATATACTTCTAGTACAATCAAAATGGATACATATATTACTTCCAAACAAAGATATTATAGAGAAATCAATAGGCTTTTTGTCCTGAGAAGACTCTTCTTTTGTTGCTATAAACTATGGATAAAATACCCAATCTATTGAATGTTAGTATGGCTTAATTCTATTTATGACATTAGCAATAACAATATAAAACATGACAAGAAGATGACACGATGACTTATTCTTCTATAAAATTTCAAGGACGTTGATTAGCAACATTTTCTTGTTCATTGTGTTTCCATAGGTCCCAACCATTCTAGGATGATGATATCATGAAATATATATCTAATAAAAAAAATTAGCCAATGGATTAATTTTGCAAATAAATAATGGCTGTAGAGCAATGGATTTTGTCTGATGGAAAAGTCTCCGATCATGATTTCATAGATTTGAGTTGAGAGGAGTCTTGGACACCAAAAAATATTTTGTTATTATTTTTTTAGTGGTACAAACACACTATAATCTCAAATACAAATAATCTCTCTCTCTCTCTCTCTCTCTCACACACACACACAAATACAAAACACTTGGGGGGTTATTCATAACATTAGTTTAGAGGTAGGTAAATACTATTAGGATTATGTGATTACTATTAAGGATATGTGTTACTGTAGCTAGGCAGGTGGAGGTAGATGTGAAGCTGTTGAATTTTAACACTCCCCCTCAGCAGCGACTTCTCTATCCACGAGTTCAAACTGACTTCAAAATTCTGCAAACTTTGAATTACTCAGTACTTTGGTGAATATGTTAGCTATTTGTACGTTTGTCCCGATTAGCTTCATTACGATCTCCGCTTGAAGAACTGATGATGTACTTCGATGTGCTTCATCATAGCATGAAAAACTGGTGTTATGGTGTTCATCATCCGTCCGAGTATAATTTAATTACCAAGTATACATCTACAAGCTCTGCCCCAATCAATTTGACGGCCAGAGATTAATAGAGGTGACCACTCCGTCGACTCGACCACTCGACATCCTATCATGTCGACTCGAAGGGTGAAACTTGTCATCCCCTTTTGTCGAAGACAGCTCGTCGCGGATCTCTCGACCATTTGGCAGGTGATTCGAAAGGCATTGCCTCTCGACAAAGGCAAAGGACACCCCCTGCCTCGGGCTCATCCCCTTTGGCTACGTGTCAACACCACACTTAGCACAAGATAAGTCCCATCAAGACCTTAGCCCTAGTAGCCTTCATGACTTGTCATATTGCGTAGGCTCTGCCACGCCATTAATCGCTCCCCATTCGATGCTGAAGGCGATTTCTCCAATATCAAAACAATCTTTCCTCTAGTCGCCAAGCACCACCTGTAAAGCAAAGGCTGACTCAACTATTAGCCCATACTGCCATGCTACCGATCACTTCCCACCTGATGTCGAAGTGACCTCTCCCCCAGTCACAATCTGACACCTGTCAAGAATATGCTGACATAACCACCTGCTCATACCTCGTCACAACTTCTTCGTACTCCGCTAAAGTGACCAATCTGCCCTTATCCTTCAGTATAAATACATGTACTAATTGCCTTCTAAATGTGGGTCTCTCCCTGTTGAAAAAATATAGAAAAAATATAGAAAGGGCTCTTAGTTCGGAGCCTTCTTTTACCCCACTCAAGTTTACCATCTAACTTGATCGTTGGAGATACAACGGGGGAACCAGTCCCCGTCCTCTCATGAGTTTTCACTAGTGCAGGTTATCTAGCTACCTCATTCAAGAACTAGACATAAAGTCGGGAAAGAAGGCGGCCCCCTCATCAATCTCTTCTACTTCATCCTAATGCGGATACACTTTGACTGTGTGATCACTAGTACATTAACAATTTTGCGCCCATCGTGGGGTCTCCTCTCTTTTTCGAGAAGAAATGTCAGGTTCTGGACAAGGGTATGGTTAGTCTCATTCTGTAGAGCAACACCGAATTTGTGTCAACCAAGCTAAACAGGGTTCGGAGTTGTGTCACCCAAGCTAAGGAGGTTTGGTCTTGGCTGAGAAGAATAGACATAGTCATACTCCTCCATAGCCATAGCAACCATCTTGGGAGCATTTACCAGCTATCCATCCACAGGATGGTCGAGCTCCCATCACCTTCAAAGCTTCCTCGAGGAAACCACCCTGGTTTTTCTTTTAGAAGAAACAACTCTAACTTCTTGGATATCTTTCCCAGAAAGAATTCCATCACCAAAGTTGCATAGTTTCCTTTGGTTGTATCGCAAGACTCGAAAAAAACTCCATTAGGGAGACTCCTCTTAAGCTAGCCTATGATATCGAAGTAGTCACTACCTGTTGAAGTCGACATGCCAACTATCCGGTTTCAACACTTCGACGAGAACTCAGAAGGACTTCGAGTCGGTCTCGATCTCCTAGACGAGACTCCAGAGAAAACGCTCTAGACCCAAGTCACCACTCAACAATGAGTCGCCCGCTACTATAATAGCAAAATCCGACCAAGGAGACTCTTCCTCTACAAAGCTGCTTTCGATAGAAACACTCGGAGAAGCAAACTAGCTCCCAACTGGGAAGGTCCTTACACAGTTCTGGAAGAGCTGCGAGCCGCTACCTATCGACTGAGGGCCCTAACGGGAGAATCCTCTAGCATCCCTGGATTGTCGAACACCTGAAGTGATATTTTCAATAATCTTGTAAATTTTATCAATAAAATTATTATTGGAACTAGCTCAAGTTTTGTCTTGCGCTCTGGTAATCTATACAGTGATACTAAGCCCTTGGTGCCTCTTCACAGGGTAAACCCAAGGAATTCTCACCATGTGGTCGACTTCCATAGTCGTCTCTCGATCATTATGGCTTTACTGAAGACCTAGGCGTCTACATAAGACCTAGGAACCTAACCTCAGAGTTGTCATACTACCTAGTTGCCATCAAGACGGCCCTCCATATGGCGAAAGACCTAGTCAACTTCAGGGTCCTAGGCACAGCCTCTGGGTTGTAAAATACCTAGTCAACTCTGGTTAGTTCTAGGTGTTCAGCCTCAGGGTTTAATTAAAAGCCCTTGATGCCTTTTCAGGTTAAACCCAATGCCCTAACCCTATGGTCGACTCCCATAATCGCCTCTCGACCATTATGGGGATATTGATGACCTATACGTCTACATAAGACCTGGGTACCCAACCTCAGGGATGTCCCCTTGTTGAAGACCTAGGCATCCACATAAGTTCTAGGCACCCAACTTTCAGGTTGTTACTCGGCCGAAATGCCCTTGGTACCTTATCAGGATAAACCCAATGCCCTAACCCTATGGTAGACTCCCACAATCACCTCTCGACCATTATGGGGATATTGAAGACCCAAGCGTCTACATAAGATCTAGGCACCTAACCTCAGGGTTGTCCCCTTGCCGAAGACTTAGGCGTCCACATAAGTCCTGTGCACCCAACCTCAGGGTTGTCACTCGGCCGAAAAGCCCTTGGCACCTTTTTAGGATAAACCTAAGGCCTTAACCGTATGGTCGACTCCCACAATCGCCTCTTGACCATTATGGGGATATTGAAGACCCAAACATCTACATGTAAGTCCTGAGCACCCAACCTCTGGGTTGTCATACCACTAAAAAACCCAAAGCGAGGAGTTTAAATGCTCGGTCATCTTTGACAAAATAAAAACTTAGGCACAACTTCAGCATAACTTGACAAGCTCTTGTCAATCGAAGTACCGAACCCTTAGCCAGTATGAGGCGCAACATGACTAGTCGTCTCAGCCACCCCATGAATGGGTCGACGCAACACAATTGACCTTTGTTTTTGTAAGCAAATCTATAAGCTACAAGTTAGCAAGGCAAAAGTAAGGAACAAATGAAGGCAAACTCGAGAATAAGAACAAAGTTGATTTTTATTCCAAAAAATGTAAACTTCACTACAAGTTCTTTACAAGGCAAAAAGAAGAAGAAGAAGAAGAAGAAGAGATGCCAGCCTTCAACTTCCTTCGCTAGAGGCGACAGTCTCCCCCTGGGTAGTAGTCTCGGTCAGGGCGAC